TTTATGGACGTTTTGGATCTTTTACTCTGGAGATTCAGCATTGTATGTTCTGTGTGCAATTATAATAACTTTATTTCTGACTAAAACCCAATCGTATGATATCCAAAGACATTCTCCTATAAAATAACAACCTCCCCCGACATTAGTGTGCTGTGATTGAACAACGCTTTGAGATAAAAACACTCCCCACTTTTTTCCCCACTCAAGTTATATTTCACTGACTCTCATATTTGTGCTGAATGATCACGATGTCATTTTAAAAATAAGAACCTGAACTCGTAAGTCACGTGGATATGTTTGTCGGGTGTAGTACAGATGAGAGACAAGACTAACTGGAAGCGTCTCCCCCTTGAACAAAATGGGCTCAGCTCCACAAGCAACAGCACAACGTTCAAGGCTACTTCTATAAATCTGTCTGGGGGGGGGGTCTCCTCGATTTCCCATGTGTAGCGATGACTAATTTGGAGCTGCCGCATTCTGACTACTACATCAGAGGTTACAGAGGGGCAAGCTGGACTATTTGGTAAAGCAACAACAACGTGGGTCTGTGAGTGTGCAAAAAAGTCAAAAAACAAACTCAAACCCTTGAAATGTTTTATTTAAGTTAGCCTGGAAACAGTGAATAATGACACGCTCATGCTGTTGTAGGAAGGTTTTTCTATCAACCGACATCAACACTTCCTTTTTTCCTTAAAGGACATGGACCACAGCTCTGAAAATGTCAAAAGTCCAATTTTATACGTTTTTTTTTTAAACCCACTGTTAACTTGTTTGATGCATGATGTAGTTTATTTAATTTTTTTGTAAAAAATAAATAAAGGCTAAAGTTTTTAGCCTTTATTAGTGCAGGATAATAGAAAGAAGAGTGCAAGCTCGAAGGAAGACCGGGGGAAGAGACACAGCAATCTGCATTAGCCTTACAACCTGTGGCTCAATCCAGTGAGTTTAACCAAGACCTCCACAATGTCATTTCCACCTGAACTTCTTCAACTATTTTCAGGATTTTCACTTCCACTGACCACATCCAAAGTGACCCAACAACATATATCAGTGCTTGCACTTAAATGTCATCTATTTCAGAATTTATATTTTAACCACTGCTTCATTCAATTCAATTCAATTTTATTTATACAGCACCAAATCACAACAACAGTTGCCTCAAGGCAGTTTATACTGTAAGGTATACCCTACAATAATACATGCAGAGAAAAACCCCTATGAGCAAGCACATTGGCAACAGTGGGGAGGAAAAACTCCCTTTTAACAATAGGAATTCTCCGACAGAACCAGGCTCAGGGAGGGGCGGCCATCTGCGGTGACCGGTTCATAACTTCTAAAGTTTCCTAAATGCAGTCTGTTCTAGTTGTTGTTACTCCACCGTGATGGAGGTGTTGTGTTCTAGGCTTGCCTGTCCATAAATATCTTGAGAGAAGTTCTTCACAAAAGTTAAGGGGAAATGTACCAGTTTGCCACCCTTTCTTTCACCAACACCCTGTAAATGTTTGGACATGTAGTAAATAACTTGCTGTAGTTTTTGTTTTGTTTTTTTTTTAATTTGTAATATGTGCAGAAGACTATTTGGCATTATCCCTCAGAAATAAGCAAGGCCTTCCCTGAAAAAACAGCATTTCATTATTATTGAGGCCTTCACAGATGAGGAAGTTACCAGAACCATATGCACTAATAACCCCCATAAAACCATAGGCTTTGAACTGTGCCCTGGTAACGAGCTGGGTGGTCTCTCTCCCCTCTAGCCCGAAGGACATGCCCATTATTTCCAAAGATGAACTCAGAGTGTGGCTGGTTAGTCCAGAGGACAGTTTTCCTACATCTTTTCAGTCCATTCATCCCTGGCTTTGGGCATTTCGCAGTGTGTACAAGAAATTGCCTCTGTAATTTGATTCTTTTTTAGACTACGTGCTGTAGATGATGGTGTCCACAGATTGTTTGCTACATTATGTTTAAAAAAGGTGAGATGTTCCAACTGCTGTCTTGTTTTTTGCCATCTCTGTCTGACCATTTTAAAAATGTGTTGCTGTTATCAATATCAGAATGAGCGTCAAACTCATAATTAGATTTTTTGGTTTTACAATATTTTCTCTTAAGTATGGACAGACGGGGCTAAAATAATTTTAGTGGATTCTGTTCATTTATTATGTGTGAGTTTAGATGGTGTCCCATCTCTTCTGATGGTGGTTTTACCTTAGGTGTACTTACAGTAATACATACACTGCATCAGAACGCCTACACTCGATGAAACAACTCCATGTACAGGCCAGTGAGAGCCCTTAAAGTACACTCTGTATGTGTGTGTGTGTGTGTTTGTCCATGCTTCCTTCTAAAGACAGCTATTTATGCCATTGGAAGAGCTTCAACAAAGTGTGTATCCAAAGTGTCTACCCCCTCACCGCCTCATGCTGGGAGATAATAGACATATTTTTACTATCTTGTGCTCATTATGGCCGGTACATGCTGATTACGGGCTCGATTTATGAAGCTCTGAGGCCACACTCCCCTTTACTTTGGCTGGACCTCTGCTGGAACTGTGTGGAAGTCCAGGGAGATCACAATGAGCAGGAGGAGGAAGAAGATGAGTGGAGAGGAGGATGATGGAGTAGAAGGGAGGGTAGAGGAGAAGAGTGTGAGAGTAGAGAGAGTGGGATAAAAGATAAATACAGAACAAGAACAAAGGACAGGAGAAGAGAGCAAAAAAAAAAATGGATAGGAAATAATAAGACAGGGAGATTTGGGGGGGGGGGGGTAGTAAAAGAAAAGCAGGATGCTCTTCAATTATTCTTTTTTGCTTCAGCGTCTGCTTCTGGATCACATTTGATCAGTCTCAGATAACATAATGCTCAACTCAAGTTATGCTTACAATTGAGCATAAGTGAATTATCACCAAGCTAAACTTGCAGGATTAATCCTGGATACATGATCTAATAATGAACAGGACATCTTTCATTCTCTTTAATTTTATATTTAACTGTGCTTTTAACTTCCGCAGAGTTTTTCTGCGCTCAAACCAGCGTTCCTCCCTGTCCAGGATGTGTACATCCTCATCACTGAAAGAGTGTCGACTGGCCTGTAGGTGTAAATAGACTGCGGAGTCCTGGCCTGAGGAGGTAGCTCTTCTGTGTTGTGCCATCCGCTTCGCCAGAGTTTGTTTGGTTCCCCGAAGTATAAATCCAGGCAATCCTCCTGGCACTTAACAGCGTACACTATGTTACTCTGTTTGTGTCAAGGGACCCGATCCTTGGGGTGGACCAATTTTTGGCGCAACGTGTTTTGGGGTTTAAAAGCCACTGAGATGCGGTGTTTAGAAAAAATGCGTCTCAACTGTTCCGATACTCCTGACACGTACGGGATCACTACAGGTTTTCGCTTAGTCAGCGCTGGTCCTTCTCTCCTGGATTGGCTGGAGCTTTCTTTTGGCGCCTTCTCAGCTTTGACAAATATCCAGCTGGGATAACCACATTTACTCAAGGCCTTCTTGATGTGCTGTTCTTCTGCTTCCCTGGCCGCTGTGTCTGTGGGGAGGGTGTTCGCTCTATGTTGTAGCGTCCTGATGACACCGAGTTTGTGCTCCAGTGGATGATGAGAGTCAGACCTTAAATACTGATCCATATGCGTAGGTTTCCAGTACACATCAACTTTTAGATGTCCCCCATTACTGATGGAAATCTCACAGTCTAAGAAGGCTAACCTGCCACTTTTCATATCCTCCCTGGTGAATTTGATGTGTTGGTCCACTGAGTTAATGTGATCCGTGAATTGTGGTACGTCGTGAGATTTGATTTTCACCCAGGTGTCATCCACATACCTGAACCAGTGACTTGGTGGTTTTCCAGGGTAGGACAACAGAACCCTTTTTTCCTCTTCTTCCATGTACAAATTGGCCACGATGGGTGAAACTGGGGAACCCATGGCACACCCATGTTTCTGCCTGTAGTACTGACCCTTGTTTGTGAAGTAGGTGGAATGAAGACACAGTTCCAAAAGCAAACACACTTAGTCGATGCTGAGCA